GCTTATATCGGTATGGGAAAATGAAATGTTGTGTAACATTTTCAGGCCATGGCTAGCTATAGCACATCTCCCAGCCAGCAGGATACCAATGAAGCTTCATATTTTGTGAGAGTCCTATAATGTTTTAAGACACCAGAATTTTGTTTTTCTGCCTTTATCATTAAGATGTGCTGGAGGCTGCTGTTAATACAAGTGCTTATAACTTTCTATGTGGATTTCTTTGTGTGTGTGTGTGTAGCCAGAAGGACTGTCCAGAGAATATACTTACAGCGTGTTCTTCTGTCCTAATGGTAAGTTCGTGATTTGACTACAGTGAGACAAGATATGTTTTTTTCCAGTTTCAATTATAAATAGAAAATGTTGCTTCCTCCCCAGGAAAAACTGCCCTTGTTTTCATCTGGTCAGTAGGTAAATCAGTTAATATTATTGATGGCTTTATAATACAGGGTATTGATAAAAAAGGGTTGATCACACTTGGCTGGCAACCTTTGCACAATATTAACTGCCCAAATGCTTTCTGCAAATAAAAATTTAACCTTCCATACCTTATAAAACTGTCTAAGTGATGAGACTATAGACAGTGCTGTAATGGATTGTACTCTGTTTTTTTTTTACATAATTAAAAAAATAATAATTCATGAAGTCTTTGTGTCTCTTCTGCCTGATTTGGATAGCTTGGACTTGGCTACAATAACTGTGATCTGGCTTCTGGTAAACAGAGAGGCTTCTTGGTCATTTAAACCGGGTGTACAGGGAAATGGCATATAAACTGCAAGAAATTCATCTAAGCTATCTGAATTCAAGAGCTGCAGTTCCATTTTTGGAGGACTACAATGAAAAGTGGACAAAAGAAGCCATTGTCTACTTTAGTACTTTGATTTATGAGACACATGACCATTGATACAGAGATTATGCAGAACAGAGTCCATGTGAATCGCAAATCAGCTTTGGGCCTTGTCTTGTATTAAGAAATGTTGAGTGCTAATTCTGACAACATTCCATTATTTTTTGACTAGAGAAAATTCATATTTCTACACCTAACAAATATGAATACCAATACATGCAGAAGCCTTCTTGGATGACACACTTCGACATTGCTGTGAAAGCTCACAATAATGCTCACTTGGCCTTGTCCTCTGGCCCACATGACATGGCAGAGATGACTGAGATAGTCATTGGTGGGCATCAAAATACAAAAACATGGATTTCCGCCAGTAAAATGGGTGAACCAGTGGTCAGTGTGGACACAGCTGGTATCCTCTCTTGGGATGAATTCCGAAGCTTCTGGATCAGCTGGAAAAATGGAATTATCCAGGTAGTGAATCTGGGTGTGTAATAGCCTTGTGGTTTCTTTCTTTTTTTAATCCAGAGTGAGAACACGCAAAGCACATGTTCATTAGCCATGTGGTAGTGTGTGCTTCATTTCTTTTCTATATTAAATTTTAATAGTTTTTTTCCCCTCCTTATTGAGCACTTTTTTTATATTTCATAATATTTCTCTTTGTCATCCAGTGCCCTGGGCACCTCAATTTTAAATATGATTAATATTAAGCATATTTTGCTCCTGGTTGGGCTGAATTGGTGAGCACGAGGCTGATTGGCCAGTACTGTTAGGACATTTATGGGAAATAGCATGGCAATCTCTCCTAAATTTCCACATAAACCAGTAGAGCTTGACTGGCACAGTTTGGCTGATGTTTATGATGTAGCCACAGGTTCAGATTCTTGGGTCCAAAGGCGCACAGGTCATGTTTCTGATTTAAAGAGAAGGGCAGAGTTGACTTCCATCTTCTGCTTGGAATTGGATAGTTTGCTTGCTCCTTTCAGGTTGGCCACGGTACTCAGATGCTAAATGAATCTATTATAGTGGAGTGGGCCGTCCCGAAACAGCCCGAGGTGAAGTACATTGGATTCTCCACAGGCTGGGGATCAATGGGAGAGTTTAAAATCTGGAGAAAAGAAGAGTCTGATGAAAATCACAATGAAGCATTTACTTTGGGAGTTCCCCACAATGTGATTCCAGGATCGGAAAGAGCTACCGCCTCAATAATAGGTACCAACTAAAAGGGGGTTGGGGACTACAGTGTGAAGAAGACGGTTTGGTTCAGACTAATATTTAAGTGTAATAAATATGGACCAGGAGAGGTAGTCATAGCCTACATAAAACTGTATTCCATTACGTTCTAAAGTATTCTTTATTGTGCTGCCAAGCATGGCCCTCTCCAATTTCCAGTATATGTGGGGATCTCCAGCTGTTGTTATCATCACAGTCACAAATAGCATAAATTGATTCCCTGGCAAGTGAGCCCTGGAGACTGAAAGTGCCTCTTCACTCTAAGGGGATCTTGCATGGCTCGGACTGAGGATCCAGTATTCTGTTAACTAACCTGAGACTGTGATTTTGGTGGAAACTTATCTGAGTCGTTGGGTTTGTGATAGTATTCCTGCAGCAGCCATTCTTGTTGTTCCTTCTTCATTTTCTCATTCTGCTTAGGAAGTAAAATTAAGCTATGAGACAGAATTCAGAGGTAGTGATCATGTGTCTTATTGTTTCAATCAGGAGACGTAATGGGCCCAACGCTGAACAATTTGGACAATCTTCTGCGATTACCGTTTGGATGTGGGGAACAGAACATGATCCATTTTGCTCCGAATGTTTTTGTTCTAAAATATCTGCAGAAAACTAAACAACTCAGCCCTGAGGTGGAGTGTGAAGCCACAGATTACCTGGTGCAAGGTACCACCTCAGACTTAAAGGCTGTAGAAACAGAAAAGACCTATAAGTTATCTAGTCAAATAGAACATATAACTAGGCTAGTATTGTCCTTCCTGGTCTCAGATGTCCCTAAGAATGGAGATGCCAGTATTTCCCTTGAGAGATTATCCTGTAGTCTCACATACTGAGACGGTATTGGGAAGTTTTCCTTGGTATGCTACCTATATTTTCTCATATTAGTTATTTCTAAATATATGTTTTTTGCGCTCTCAGCAACTTTCCTTCTCTCCTTGGTATTTGTTCCTTTCAAATAGTTGTGGCATCGACACATTTAGCTCTGCTGAGCTACATATATTCAGTTTTTAGTCTTTCTGCATAACTCAATCCCTCCAACAATTTACGTTGCTCTTCCCTGAACTCCTTCTAATTTGACAGTAATCCTTGGTAACAAAGCGACAGAAACAAATGTTAGAATCCTGAGCAGATACCCCAGAGCCCAGCAGAGCTCTCCCCTCTGTGGCTGGGGTCATGTCACCCATTGTGCGTGCAGCTTGGAACCATCTGTTGTTTTACATACAGTACTATTTTTCTCTATATTCAGATGTAAAGGATGGTGCACTCAGAATGATTTGTAGTTAATAAAGCAAGAGACCTAGGAGCAGGGAAGAATTAAAAAACCATAACTGAAAACACAAACAGGCCATGACGAGATGCATTCTGCCTTGTGCATGAGTTGTTGCTGGTTATATCCCATAAACACCTGGTTGATACCAAGCTGAATAGAGGGGTATATAGTATGATGTAATGTTATCATCCAGCGAATTAATTTTTTCATTGCATGGTACTTCCTACACAACAGGAAGAGAGTGGCAGTGTATTTAAGCTGGAAGACATTTTTCTTTACAAATGGTGTATCTTAGCTTAGTAATATTACAGGTGAAATATTTCTAGCAATGAATATGGAAGAACTGGGTTTTTTTCATATCCCAGAAATTTAGTAATATAATTAGTTCTTAGAGAAGTCTAGTGCCCAGTGAAACGCTAGTAGCTGGAGAAGTAGTAGTTCACTCATTTTGTTTTCGGGAGAGTTATGGAGGCTTGTAAGCACTAGCTTGAAATGAGATTTAATTAAAATTTTGCGTGTACAGGTAGAGCTGGCTCTACCGTACACAGCCGATCAACAGAACCCCTGGTGTCAGTGTCAGAAGATTGAGCCTTCACTCAGTGTAAACGCTTGCTTTTCTCCGGGTGAAGACGTTGGATTCCCACAGTTCCTTTTGTGACTTCCAGGTTACCAGCGCCAGTTGACCTATAAAAGACAAGATGGTTCATATAGCGCTTTTGGCGAGAGGGATTCCTCAGGAAGTATGTGGTGAGTTGCTATTTAAGACAGAATTGGAAAATTCAGTGTTTGCCATATGAGGAAAAAATGCAATTGGCAAAAAAAGGACACTAACTTTCCAGGATATCATGCAGAATGGAGGGTAGAAATAATACTCTCCAGTGGCCAGAGGGACTGTCAGTGTGATGCTGCTGTGTGTTATATACTCTAATAGTAAGTTGGTGAATAATAATTCTGTAAGGGTCAAGGACAGTTAAGGTGTCGACCCTCTTACAAGTTCACCACTGTGGTAAAGGGCCAGTGCCATGGAGCTGCACAGGTGGTGCATGGCCCAGAGCAAATCCTTGTTCCTGGAGAGTGGAGCCCCACCATCAGATGTTCAGTGAGACCACCCAAGTTGCTAACATGGCAGGCTCTCCGCTTGCAGGATAAGAAGAAGGGAGCTCAGCATTTCTTTCAGATGCTTTCCACCTCCATTTAGATGAAGGAGGTCCAAACCAATGCTTCCCACAGGGACTTTCCTGCAGAATCTCGCAGGGTAGAATAGTATAAGGGGCAGAGGATGTGGAAACTTGCATGACCACCCTACTGGTACCCCATCCCCAAAACACCTCCATCCCCAAAGCCTCTGTTGCTTTAAAGTTAGCATGTAGCTGACTAACTACAGCCTGTCAAACCCAGCAGGTTCTGTGCTTCATTCATAAGCCTGTGTTGTCATTCGACTTCTCCAGCTGCTCTGTGTTTTCTTTAGAATGACTTGCTCCATGAAATCATCTGAGGGGAAGTAGCACTTCAGTCCTGCTGCTGCTGCCTCACTTTTTTAAGATAGTAAACTTCACTTTTATCTCAGATTTGGCATCTTTTAGCCCCTTGATATCAAACATGGTGACACACAATTACTTAACACTTGAAAAATCCCCTGCCAGGCAGTATGCCTTCTACCCTCCCATTCCTAAGGGGCTTGTAAAGTGAATGATTCAATCTCCCCAAACTGGCCAGAGTTCACACTTAATGCATGCAGAGCATTAGCATTCTGAAAGCACTTTGGCTTAAGTTTTACAGAGAAAAAGGACTTAATACAAACTCAGACTCAAGCAGTAGATCTAAATTTCCATTTGTTTTATTAATAATGAGTAGTTAAAATGGAAAAAATACAATATTTTTGTGCTTTTTGTCCATCAGTTAAAGTCCCCATAATGTTAAATATATAGTTATTTTTCTAAAAGCTTTAAATTAATCAGGGAACAACTACACGTCCTTGTGAATTCCAGACAGTGACAAATCTGAGTCAGATTTTGCCCCTTTTCTCTTTATGAATGATCTGTGAACCATAGAAACTGTACTGAATTAAATTATGTGGAATTGATAGTGTTATTGGTCTGAAGCTCTTTAGTAACCAGACATTGATTAGTCAAGATCTGAAATTTGCTGCTGTTTGGCTTTGGTTGGACACAGGTTTTGAAATATTTCTCTCTTCTCTGATGAGATTTCCAGCAGTAAGAATCCTGTTTCATATTCAAGTTCAAAATTCACTTTCCTTATTGTTTGCTTATGGCCTAAAGCTTTCAGGGCTGCAGTCCTTCCAAGTTCTTTTGTATGTCCTTGTTAATATAATGTGCTTACTCCTTTTATTTCTATAATGTCCAGTCCTTTATTGAGTCCTGGCAAGTTCTAAATCATACAGTTGGGAGTCCCACAGGGTAATTGTGCTTTAAAAAGGTTCTTTCTTATTTTTAAATGTTGTGCTTTTCATTCCCCTTGAATCTGTATTACACAGAAGGATAAATATGTTCAATTTGCCTTTTCTGTACCATTTAAGTATGTGCATCTCCATCATCATTTCTTCCAGATTTTTGAAACTCCTGTTTTCCAGGAGCACGATCTTCCATAGTGCTGCACTGCTGTATATTCTAATTCCTACCTATTCTATGGATTCTATATCTATTCCTATATTCTGATTCCTGAATCTGTGTTTTTAGGCTAACTGCATTTGTCCTCAAGTCCTTTGCACAGTCCCGTGGGTTTATTTTCATTGATCCCAAGGAACTGACAGCTGCAAAAGATTGGATCATCCAGCACCAGAAGGAAGATGGATCCTTCCCTGCAATGGGCAGAATATTAAATAAGGATATCCAGGTAAAAGCTATAGGAGCTCAGAATTGTGCAAAAAATGCATTTTTAGGATGTGACCCTGTGTGACAGTCTAATCTTCTTATGGCTGATGCAAGGTTTATACAGAAGGGCTAGGATACTTTGGGAAAGAAAGTGGATCAGGAGGACTCCAGTAAAGCAGATCTGCCAGCTTTTAGTTGTGTGACACACCTTGAGAATGGGAAACAAAAGGTGAAATCGCAGCATGGCACTTTGAAAGTTTGTCTCAGAGTTTGAAGCTGCATCTCCTGGTTATTGCCATGGGAGGAAGCTGCAGTGGGCAACTGGGCTTCAGAGTTGGAGAGGCCACAGTCTGTCACGCAATTACAGCTTATTCACTGCTTGGCTCCCATGGGCCGCCCACCCAGGGCACTGGTCTCCCCCTTTCATGTACTTGTTTGTGCTTGTTCACTTCAGGGCGGAATCCATGGCAAGATCTCACTGACAGCCTACGTAGTTGCATCTCTGTTGGAGACGGGCGTGACTTCAGAGGTAAAGGACTGAACAGTAGCAGAGCCCGTTACAATTGCAGAGTTTGTTTCCTATGTGGGGTTTTGAAGGTTTCCTTTCTCGGTGCCTCGCTTTGTTTCACCTGAGAATCTTTGAGCTAGTTTAGAAGGTGGTATTCAGACACCTGGGGCTTCAGTCGAGCCCCCAACTTGGCCAGCATGGATGTCTCAAAAATCCTTTTCTAAACATAATGATGGTGATTCTGCAGTCTCTGGCTGTATGCTTGTGGTTTGCTCCAGACGAGAAGTGCTGCTAGGGATAAACGCTCACCAGCAGCTGGCAGTTGGCTCCCCACGAGAGTATATTTACACAGCAATTGCAAAATGTGAATACAGGTAATATAGACCTACCCAAGCTAGTTCTTAAACTGGCTGAATCCAGTTCTCCCATCACTGTGAAGAGACGAGGGATGAGTTTGCTTGTATGGCTGTGGGGATGAAAGCAGGAGGTATGGCATTGTGCAGCATTACACCTCTCCAGTGCATCTTTCACAAGGTGCTGCATCTTAAAGCATAACGTGGCTTTCTAGAGGGGAATCACTAGGCTTTCCTGAGAGAACCTGGGATCTCAGTGTTTGTAGAGAACTTCCCTGCAGAGGTTCCAGACCAAGTTCTCCAACCTGCGATCTGCTGAATGCCCTCCTCAGTCCTGCCAAATTCAGTGGCAGTTGACAGCACTTTTCTCTGCCTTTCTCAAGGCCTAGCCCTAAAACAGGTAAAGGAATAACTTGCTGCAGCTCCCCTTTGCACAGAGTGGTGGGATGCTTTCTTTAGGTCACTGCTGAGGAGGACAGCTCCAGAATTTCTAGTTTCTGGAAGCACAGTTCAGCTGACCTAGTGGCTTTCCTAGGGGACATTTGCAAGTGTTGCTAATGATCTTAGCTAGGAAATGAGGAAGGGGAAGGCTAGTGCCACAGGGAAATCAAAGGCAAGTGAATTACATCAAGTCCAATTAAATTGTTTCTATAAATTATCTGAGCCACGTTCCTGCACAGTGAGGTCATTGGGGGAGTTAATAAAATGTGCTTGCTGGCTGCAGAGACTCCTGGGAATCTTGGCCTTTATTATCCTCTGGCGTCTGCTAGACGCTCCAGTGTGTCAGGAACACAATCAAAAGTACAGTAGAGACCTCACTGCTACTAAATACATCTGTGTTCACTGAGCCCTGTGGCCTTTCCAGCCCTAGGGAAACAAATGTGTCTCAGTGTTAGTTTCTGGATCTTTCTAGCTGAGATGATATCCCTCACTTCTTTAAAACCTGGAGTTGTGGCTCTGCTCAGGGAAAGACAGAGCAAAATGTGCTGCTGCTTGCTTTCATAACAGGCACCAGGCCACAAGAAATGTAGTGATTCTAGCTCTGGAGATGCAGGAGCTAGTAATCCAGTTGGGATCCTTTCCCCCTACCTAATATAGGAAGAAAAAGCAGCAGTTGCTAAAGCCAAACACTTCTTGGAGTCCAACTTATATTCTGCAGAAGACCCCTACACCACAGCCCTGACTGCATACGCCCTGACTCTGCTGCACAGTCCCTCTGCTTCTGTGACTCTGAGGAAAATGAACAGCATGGCCATTATGCAAGGTACTATGCAACCGGGTGCCAATCTGACTTGTCCCTAAATTAGCTTTTATAGGCTTACAAGGTTCTTTGGATGAATCTGATATCTTTTATTAGACCAAATTAAATAGTTGGAAAAATACATTTAAGCAAGCTTTTGGGTTCAAAAACCCTTCGGGTTCAACTTCCCATGGTTGAGGAAGTTTTGGCAGTTGGTGTGTGCTCTTCCTGGATGGAATGAAACGTAAAGAAGCCAGCGGCTGGGCTGGTCTGCACACAAGACAGGCAGTCAGTGAAGATGTAGATGGAGGAGTCAGTAGGTGAGAGACAGGCTTGGGGGGAGAAGGGGGACAAATAGTGGAGAGGTACCTGGGGAGTCAGATGTCGGGCAGGTTATAAATTTATGTCATAAATCCAATGTCTATATTTAGCCCATGATTTTTAGTGTCCAGGAGGTTGATGAAGTGGAGTTCGTAGGCTCGGCTCTCGGAAGTGTTTTGTACGTTTCCTTTGAGGATCAGGACTGAGAGGTTAGAGAGAGAGTGGTTTTCTTGTGAGAAATGTGCCCCCACCGGTCATTGGGTATTCCCGTCTTTGGTAGATGTCCGGTGTGCGTTCATTCTGGTGCGCAGTTGTTGTTTGGTCTCTCCTACTCATTTTCCATCGGGGCATTTGGTGCATTGGATGCGGTGTATTACATTTCTGGAGGTGCAGCTGTAAGATCCGGGAATGTTGATGGCTCTGTTGTGGGGTGTCGTAATTGTGGGGGTGGTGGAGATGTGTTGGCAGGTTTTGCATTTCATGGCATGGCATGCTCTGGATCCATTGGGTGTGTTCTGGGCCTGAGGAAGTTTGCTTCTGGTGATGAGGTTGGCGAGGTTCGGTGCTTGTTTGCAGGCTAGGATGGGTGGCTCTGGAAAGATCTCTTTGAGAACAAAGTCTCTTTCTAGTATGGGGTGCAGTTGGTTGAGGATTTTCCATACGGGTTTGAGGGAGGGGTGATCTGTCATAACCAGCAGTGTGCGATTTGCAGGGGGGTTTCTTCTGTACTGCAGCAGTTCTTCAAGTGGTATCCGGATGGCTCTTCCAAACGTCCGATCTATGTCTCTGGACGAGTGTCCTTGTTGAGTGAAAGCCTTTTTAAGACTGGCAAGGTGGCAATCCCGGGTGTTCTCCTGAGTGCAAATTTGGTGGTATCTGAGGGCGTGGCTGTATAGCACAGCTTTTTTGGTGTATTTAGGGTGATTGCTGGTCCTGTGCAGATATGTATGTTGCTCTGTGGGTTTCTTGTGTAACGTGGTCTGTATTTTATCATTCTGGATGCTGATCATCGTGTCTAAAATGGAGATATTGGTGCTGAAGTATTCAAGAGAAAGTCAGATGATGGGATGGTGATTGTTGAATTTCTGATGGGACTCAATCAGAGATTACAGGTTTTCAGTCCAAATGATGACGTTGTCATCAATATATCTTAAGTATAGCAAGGGTTTGATGGTGCAGTCCTTAAGGAAGTCTTCTTCCAGGTGGTTCATAAAAAGGTTGGCATCCTGTGGGGCCATTTTGGTGCCCATAGCTGTTCCCATCGTCTGGAGGAAGTGTTGGTTATTAAAAGTGAAACTGCGTGTGAGGATGGAGTGTATCAGGTCAGTAATATCTTTGTATCTGTACTCTGAGTTGTAATCTTGCTCCTGTAGATATGCAAGGCAGGCTTGGATGCCATCCTGGTGTGGGATGTTGGTATATAGGCTGGGGATGTCTTTTGGGGGGTGGGGGGGGGGTGTTGGTCTATGGTGGCTAGGAGGGTGTTGCTGGGAAGGTGGTCTATGTTTTGAAGTATCCATAGAAAGTCTGTGGTGTCTTGGACAAAACTTGCTCTGTGGGTGACGAGCGGTTTTAGGATTGATTCAACGAAACCTGATATTTCCTCAGTTAGGGTCCTGTGGTTGGATATGATAGGTCTGCCAGGGTTCCCTTGTTTGTGGATTTTAGGGAGCATGTAAAAAGGCCCCAGGTTAGGTAGTGGGGCAATCAAGGTCTGTAGTTTTTCTTGTAGTCCTGATGGAAATGATTTGATGGTATTGTTGAGTTTCTTGGTGAAAAGGGGAGTAGGAGCTCCTTGTACTTCTTTGTAGTAGGTGGTGTCAGCCTTTTATAGGTTTGGACTCTCAGGCCATGTACCCAATACAGGTCCAGCCAATCCAGGCACTAAGTTAACATTCCTTGCCAACAAGCTTATGTGACTTCCAGTATCAGCCTGGGGAGGATAGATCTTGCAGGAGAACTGGGAGTAGCTCTCCAGATTCTCAGGAGACGGGACAGAGTCCTTAAGCTCCAGGCACGGGCTCAATTCTACTGTCAACAGCTTGTTGATGTGAGTGGCTTTGCTGAGAGCAGTGTAATTGTGCCAGAGGCTTTGCAGTGGTACTCTATGACCCCTATTGCTTTACTGTCAATGCCCAAGGATCTAATCAGCTGAGTAGCACATCCAATTTTCTGATGGCTCATCTTAATTCAAAATCCAGCAACCCTTGAGCACTAGCCCCACCAGCACGTGGCCACCAATCTATCCTCACGCATTGTTGCTGAGCACCAGCACTGGTGATCATGGTGTGCAACACAGAGGAATGAGCAGTCCCTGCCCTGAGGAGGTTGTTGTCTAAATAGAGAAGTGGTGTTACCCAGGACATGGCTTGCCCTTAGATTAAATAAATGGTAAAACAGAATTTGATTCTCCTCACATCCAGAGTCACTGCTGCAAGCAAGCTGGAATATCTTTACTTTTTTATCATTCTAGATGGTTTTACACACTGGAGTTTAACGGGAACTCTGGCTACTGATGAAGATACGTTCATGGGATTTAATGATGGGCTTTCTCAGTCAGGTACCGCCGCTTGTAACTCAGTTGATGAAAAGCTAGGATTGTTCTCTGTTGTTTTTTACAGTACCAGTAGTGCAGCAGGTGCTTTCCAGATAGGGTGAAGGCAAGGTCCCTAACCCAAAGATTTCACACTGGGGGGCAAAGGAAAGGATATGAGTTGTAATGAAAGGGCAGTGACCACAGGGACAGTATGCAAGCATTTTTTAGTTCTGTGGTTTGGGATGGACTTCGGTGTCCACCTCATTATCCTCACATTTGTCTTGTAAATGCTTCATTGGGAAGGAGGGGAAGCTAAGGCAATTTTGGTCCCATAAAGGAAGTATGTTTTAGGGAGGCACTTTGGAGAATGATGGATAGTTAAGGAAAGGCTCCAGGATGAAAAGCCAGAAAGAAGGCAGCAGTAGGAACTGTGAACTGGGAGAGATGAGTGGCCAGGCATGCAGGGACTGGGGAGATGTAAAGGTGAATCACGTGAAAGCAAGTGTGAAGTCTCAGGAGATCCTGTCAGGCAAAAGCCATATGTTGTGGGAAGTCAAATATACTTAATTGTACAATAACAGCTCTTTGGTCTAGAATTTTTAAAGGAACCTGAGAGTTAAGGGTCCAACTTATATTCATAGTTGATAGGAATTGGACATCTAATACCTGAAGGGGCTCTTTGAGTATCCCTGGCCCTAATAACCCCAGACTATAAAGATGTAAATGCGTAAAAGTATGTGACGGAGTCAACTGGCTGGGACAACAAAGACCAGGATTTTGTATGAAAAGCTCCAAGGGGAGAAAGTTGATTATGTCATTCAGGTGGCATGTTAGACAAAAAGGGGCAGGAGAAAATTGCACAGAGCTTGAAGTGGAGCAGGAGGGGATGCATCCTGGTGATGAGCCAGGGAAGAGATTTGACTGGAAGATAACTCATGAGGTATGCTCAGAAAATGTTGCATGCAGTCTGGGTGCAGAGGTTTATCACCTCTTCATTTTTCCTTTCTTGTCTTGGCCTCTCCAGACCCTAAAGAATTTTTTAGCTTGTGAATTTGCAGAAAGGTACTCCCTGATTTCCAGCCCGAGTTTCCAGCTCTAGCTGGGGGATTGACTGTTTTGCCTTTCAGTTGTGTCTGCAGAGGTGGAAATGACAGCCTATGCACTGCTGACATATACACTCTTAGGAGATGTGGCCTCTGCACTTCCAGTGGTTAAATGGCTGTCACAGCAGAGAAATGCCCTGGGAGGATTCTCATCCACTCAGGTGAGTTGTCATAAGGTTGTGCAACTTCAGCACAGATGCAGATTCCAGTGTAAATTGGTCAGTGTTGGGTTTCTCTCTGGAACTACCTAGCTGGGGTCATAGGAGCTTAAACTTACCAGGGGTCATATGAGCCCAGTATTCATTCCTGGCCAGGGCAGGGGGTTGGACTTGATGATGTGCTCAGGTCCCCTCCGACCCTACATCTGTGAACCTATTTGGAAATGATGCTGTATTCTGGGAGATAGATCACCTGACAATGCACTGCCACCTTTGGGGTGAGCAGCATGGAGTGAACTGTCTTTTTCACACCAAGGGTTTCAGGGAAAAGGAAAGCAGAGTGAAAAGATCCACTTACTATTTGAACAAATGAGGAGTAAACCTCTGCTGCCAGAAGCTGCCAACTATGCAACCTGCTGCTAATCCATAAGTTGGTTCTTCACTGACTCCGACCTCTCCTCCTACCCTAGGATACGTGTGTAGCCCTGCAGGCTCTGGCTGAATATGCCATTCTTTCTTATGTTGGAGGAGTAAACCTTACCATTTCCCTGGCTTCCACTAATTTAGACTATCAAGAGACATTTGAGCTTAACAAGATAAATAAGAAAGTCCTTCAGACAGCTGTGGTGAGTGAGAACTTGTGCAAATGCCACTTTTCTTGTTTTAATATTTACCAGTTTCCCCAAGCAACCTGTTATTGAATTCTGCACTGTAACTCAGATTGTGTCAGGGAAGGGGGAAGAAATGGGCTGGACATTTTGAAACCTCAGGACTTTCTGGGTTCTTCCACTTGAGCCTAATAGGAGAACTGGCAAATACTTACAGTGATGAGAACACTCTGTCATAATTGATTCCTGATGCTTGGTTTGGGACTGTTATCATCTGCTACTTGTATTGAACACAGGAACTGAGAAAGATTCAGCTCTTTTTGCTTATCATTCTAGTTTACAGGTGCTGTTTTAAAAGCTTTCTCATGCAGAGGATAAAAATGAAACTATGAGTGGGATTAATTTCCACTCTTCATAGTTGTGTTTTCACCTGTGGATTCTTCTGTGCCTACTCCCCAGATCCCCAGCATTCCCACAGGGCTGTTTGTGAGTGCCAAGGGTGAAGGCTGCTGTCTGATGCAGGTAAGGGCACTGCAGACTGTGTAAAGCTGCTTGGAAGGTGACCTTTGAACAGATGAGACAATCTGTGAGCTATTCCTTTAACTCCAGTCTCTTTCTACAATAAAACCCACTGGTGTTGGGAGGAATTGCCTTTTAGACTTTTCCCAGATGAATTCTCTTATCTCCTAAGTTTTTGCTGTATCAGCTTCCAAAATATCTGAAGGAGGTTGATACGTTAGGTGTAGCTAGACTCCATCAGGGAAATATTAGAAAGTGAAGATTTAAACTGAATGTCAGGGAAGCTTCCTTGGGCTGAGGAATAGCCATTTAAGAGGGTCTCCTTGGCATTATTCCCATCACTTGGGATTTTTTAGACTGAGCAATGCACCCTAGTCAGTTTTGCATTGGAGGGGGATGTGCTGGATAGGACTGGAGGCTTCCACATCTCACAGTTCTGATACTCACAACCATTAATCCCTTATAGAAATTCACCTTGTTACTACTGCAAAAAATATACTTCTGCATCCAAAGAAAAGTTCTGCTTCTTTCCAGAGCAGCCCCCAGGCCTGATACTGGGTAACATGCACATTAGCATACGCTTGGCAGGTGGAATGTCCTTGTGAGACATGGGATGGTTGAGGGCAAGATCCAGCAAGTAAATTGCTCCAGGTGCCTCCCAAAAATGTGTCTTTAAAGTTAGTACTGAACTCTGTCATTCCAGTGGCATGGGAGTTAGAGAATCATAGTCAGGGCTCCGTGCAAATGACAGTCAAAATGTCATCCTTGGAAGGTGACAAACTCTGGCCTTCATGTCTTGAAGATCCTGTTCCTCTTCAATGAGCCTCTTTCATCATATATCCGTTGGCCTTGTGCCAGCTCCATGTGCACCGAACCCTTGTATGTTTTGTAAGTACCAGTTAAAGAGGCTGAAAAAGTGACACTGAACTTTAATTTTAAAAGCTCCTCAACAAAATTGGCTCTATGTTCTTTTTGCTTCAGAAGTACAGTACTAAGAGTTTCCTCCTGTTTAGTTATCCTGAAAGTATTTACATATTTTATTCATAATATAGGAATCTGCAAATCATTTATGCTCATATTTTAATGTTATACCAGGGCCTTTCTCTCCCACCCACTTCCAGTTACTGGGCGCAATCTGTCATTGGTTCAACTCCATGGGAGTTAACACAGTTGCACCAGAGCAAAACCAGTGTGAGGTTTTCCCTCTGCTCAAATACCTCAGTGAAGCCTTCCTTGCCCTGGTGTTTGCACATGCCTTTCTCTGAGCATCTGGTCCCTGCTCTTGTCTTCCCAAGGAGTTATCTTTGAGAACTGCTTCACAGTCAGGGCGGCTAGGATCTGGAACCAACTTCCAAGGGAAGTGGAGCTGGCTCCTACCCTGGGGGTCTTTAAGAAGAGGCTTGATGCCTACCTGGCCGGGGTCATTTGAGCCCAGTTTTCTTCCTGCCCAGGCAGGGGGTCGGACTTGAAGATCTACAAGGTCCCTTCCGACCCGACTTCTATGATTCTATGATCTAGTGATGCTGCCAAGTCTAAATGATGCTTTTCTTTCTTTCTTTCACTTTGTAATCAGTGGTGCTAACACCAATCCTCCATTTTCCCCTTTTCTACTATAGATTGATGTCACATACAATGTACCTGACCCCGTTGCTAAACCAGCTTTTCAGCTTCTGGTTAACCTGAAAGAGCCCAAGTCAGAGCGTCACCAGCAAGCTCAGCACCCCCTGCAGCCTCTCTCTCCAGAGGAAAATCGCTCTGAATCCTCCCACAGGGAACGGGCTTTGGTGGATGACGATGACCCAGCTTCTGATCAGGATCACCAAGAGTACAAAGTGATCCTAGAGACATGCACTAGGTAAGAAGCCCTTTATTCCTTCAGTGTGTTCAGTATTCCTTCTGATAGGCTGGCTAGTTTTGTTAGCCATTGCAGATGACTTGCAGGTATTTTTCTAATGAAAATTGCAGCCCTTCCCTATATGTGTGTGTACATGTTTAGTGGGGTTATAATGTATAAATAAGGGGCACATGCTGATGTGTTTCGTCCTGTATTATCCATGCATTAGATGAGGTGAGGCAGACCAGGTCTTATTTGCTCTGGCCAGTAGGTCTCACTCAGTGTGTTTAGGTGATGAAGTTGGGATAACAGATGAAATATTTCTGACTAGATGCATGTTAGTATATAGTAAATGTCAAGAGTCATGGGTGAAGAAGATCCACAGAAAGAGTTTTATTATGGATCAGGTTGCTGTATAATCTAAGTGGTTGCAGTGGGTCAGAGTTCTAAAGTTTTTCACCTATTTTTAAAATGGTCTTTCCTCTCACTCTGCTCCTTTGGAGCTGAAATTGTGTTTTCTCCCCTAAACTCCTTTCTCTGCAGCGTACATGCATGCTGGCTTGTCTTTTTACCCTCTCTGGGAAAGCAGGCTGTGCCCACCTCAGGCTCTGCCCTGCAGTTCAAAGCAGTGAGTGGACCACCCGATCCAGCTTTCAGCCACACAGGCTACGCTCGCTCCTTTGCACCACAGCTCAGACAGACCCACAGGGGTGGGCACAGCCTGCCCTAATGGACAGTATAAAAAACAATTGGTGTTTACAGAAATAGCCATGCAAGTGCAGCAATACAGACATCTTCCACTAAGTACTTCGTGTACTTGGTGGCCTTACGCAGCTATGCTGCTACCCTGTACTGGAGGTGGCTGATGTATAACCCACTTGAGCATGCCTGTATGAACTACAACCATGCCTTTGGACTGCACATGGTCGTGCACAAGTGTTTTGGCTGCTGGATTAATCTTTTTGGTTGTGAAGCATGTTGTGAGAGGGAAAGCCATGCACAAGGAGTTTACAAGTTGCTGCATGGAAAGGTAGTGCTATTTTGGATCTGCCAGCTCTGGCTAAGACTTTATGTCTTTGTCTCATCCAAAACCTGGAGAAAGCAAATTAACCTTCTCAGTGACATCAGGTGGAAAAGGAAAAGTTTGAGAACATTTTCCAGGGCTAAATTAGTGTGAGATTCTTTAGAAACCTAAAGGAGTTAGGTAATCCCAATTAGGTAATTCTATACTAACATGGCCATGGTTCTATAAATATTATTGACTCAACTTTAATTTAATGTTTGTTTGAGTTGCTTAGGCTCATTCATTGAGTTTTGGATACCAAAACCCTAACAAAGGATGCTGGTTGCTATAGTATCAGTTTGGAATCTCATTACCGGAATGGCTGTGTAGTTGCTATGGTAACGGTGCAGTCTTTGAGGTTATTTAGTTGACGTGTTCCCCAGAGCCCATTGTTTATCTGCTTGTTTCTTATTAAAACATTTAAAAAAAAATTAATTGGAAAAAGCAATCTGGCTTGATACCAAAGCTCAGTGATTTTTCTTCAGCCTGTGTTTTGTGTGAGGGCTTCCACCTTTATCCCTGTTTTCTAGATGAGGAAACTGGGCCATGGGCAGAGGAAGCAGTTTGTCCTTCATCCTGCACTGAGTGGTGGGGACAGGAGTAGAACCTGGCTCTCCTGACTGGGATCCTAGACCTTGCACTTCAGTGTCCTGCAGCCTGCCATGTGCTAGGCAATAGAGGCCACAGAGCTGTCAGCCCTGACACCAAGCAGCTGCCAGGCCCAGGGAGCAGTGGCTCAGAGCTGGCCATGGAAGATGACAAGCCCTGTACTTCCCTGCTTGTGGCCACCTCCTCCCAGCCAAATGAATTAAAACTGCTTGAGTGGCTTCAGGCAAAGATGGGACCCTGTTGCCTTTGTTACCTCTCTGAGCACTTCCCCTTCCCACTCTCTCTTGGCTGCACTGCCAGCAGCCTGGGTGCCTTTGAAGGGCAAAGGCCTGTGGAGTCCCCAGGTCTGGCCTCACACAGGTTTGCATTTCTCAGGCCTGGGTGATTCCTCACCTCTAGCAGTAGAAGCAGGGGAAGGGCCAACAACTCAGCATGGCTCCTCCCCTGCAGCAGTTGGCTAGAGACCCTGAAAACTGTGTGTTCACTTGTATATAACCACAGGACCTTGGTCGAGTTCATGGCTCGGGTTTCATTCCTTCTGCCACTTTGCTTTGGCAGTGTCTGAGCTGTGGCAGGAGGAGAGTGGCAGAGACAACATTTTTCAGGCTCAGTTAAAGAAATTAGCACCTTTGCCACGGCACCAGTATGTTACCAGATTAAGTTGCCACAGTGCTAGCACCACTGTGCACCTGTGTACCACATGAGAGGGGTTTGCACCAATCTAGATATATCTGCGTAATTATCCGGGTGTCGGGTTCTTAGGCAGGGAAAGCAGAAGCATCTCAGAGGGGCAGGTTCATAAGGCTCTGTCCATCCCTTGAAGATGCCTCTCAGGAGGCCACCCTGCATCAACACAACATTTTGGCTCTTGTCTTCTAAACTTCTGCCATGGGTATTTCTAGAGCAAAGACAGAAATTTGAGAAGAAGCCCAATCTGAGGAGATCAAAGCCCTGCAAAGAAAGAAAAGCAAGTGAGAGCTTTCCTTCCCCTTCTCTCCAAGTGAAGATGTTGTTTAACTCCTTAGACCTCTCCTCCTGCAGAACTTAGAGCCAGCATATCTATAGGCAGCAAGCTGAATGCCTGAAAGCCTGGGTGACTTTGCAGAAGAGGGAAATGGTTCATTTGAAGGAGTCAACTGTTCTCTTTGGGCAAGGGAGAAAGACTCTATGAACCTAGAGAAAAGAATGCGCTCTGCTGGAACAGAAAAAGCCACAGTCATCCAGGAGTTTGTTTGGGTTGAAGGTGCATGATTCTGCCACCAGTGCTTCTGACAGCAGCTGCTAGTGCCAAGCCAGCTGTTTATGCACATCAGTGGCTCTTGGTGGCTCTGCTGCTGCAGCTGTGCCAGGCAGGAGAGCACAAAGTGCACCTTGAGAAGGCCACAGCTGGTGAGAGGATGCTACAGTTGGCAGAAGGCATCAGAGTAGGCCCTAGTGCCTAAGGGCATGGTGTTTGGCTGTATAGAGATGCAGAGCACCTGAGCTAGCTCTGTGTAGTGTTCCACGGCATGTGCAGGCCAAAGCCACCACTATGTCTTTTGTACCAGACAGCCACTATGGGGAAGCAGCAGCCACCTTCTCCCCCTAGGGACCGTTTCCCTCTCATCTCCCTACTAATGAGTCCAGTAATTAGTCTCACCATGTCGTGGAAGACTGCATTCCCCCTCCTCCTCTGTTGCCTCCACCTCCCTTTACCTTTCCCCACATGTCTGTTTTCTGTGGACTCTGCTTAGCTTTTGCCTAGTGGAAGCAGAAAGGAGCACTTGTAAAGCTGAAGAGACTGGCTTTCAAGAGGTCCTTAAATCGGGACTGCATCCTCTCTTGGATCCTGTGCATAACTTTCCTTTGAATGCTTGTGTCTTAGCTGTGCTCCCTCCCACCTGTGCCATGGAAGGTTAACTTGGATCCTAAATCTGTTCTCTCTCTCATGCCCCTGGGGAAGGTGGCTGCACTCTGGATCCTCAAACATGGCCGTCCTGGAGGTGCCCTTGTTCTCGGGGTTCCGGGCAGATATGGAGAGTCTGGAGCAGGTAAGACTTTTCAAGGAGTGTCGAGCATGCTGCAGTGTTGGGGCCAGCCTTTGCTCTGCTGTTAGCAGGGATTCCCTCTGAAGAGCCCCAGGAGGTAAATGCCATCCATCATTTGTTAGAAGAGTGTCTGAAAAGATGTAATCAAAATTGGGGCTAGGGAAATGTCACTTGTCAAAACGTATGTATTCGAAAAGGGTAAGCAGATGTTCTAAGTAAGATTAACAAATTTACCTAACACAGCCAAATAAAGCTGATTGCTGCATATAGCTCACAGTAATTAAATGAGACCCATTTGGAAATGCTGAAGTGAAAATGTGCTCTAACAGGAGCTGTTTATGGCTTCTTAGTGGGCTGTATTATCTCCAACATCTGGATTCGATTTCATTGGAGGCGCTGTGTCTTGGAATTTTGTGCTTTTTTTTTTCTGGGAGAACATCGTGTTTATTGCAAGCCAAACTGAGGTGGACAGAATGTGCCTCTTACCCGGCCAGCCCTCTAGGGGGGATGAACTGCAACCTTCAGCTTCTCTTTCGCCTGTGCAGCAGTATATGTAGTGTCTGCACCAACTTTGATATTACAGGTAACATTCTTAGGGACTCTGGAGAGAGAGAGGAACTAGCATGCCATCACTGACAGTCAGCCAAGAGGTAATCTGGATTTGCTGTACCCAGCAAACCTCTTCTTTTAAGAGCCTCTCTTCATAGTGCGGGGAGAGAAAGATGTGCATTTACTTCAAGTCAGCTAACTCTCGGGAAAGTCCTTGTGAAGACAAGGCAGCTTAACTTGACTTTACTGATACCTGTGAAGACTACAGACTCTCTTGTCTTCACAAGTATTTTACCTTGAATGAACTAACTCGAATGAGAATACAGTTACCCCATGTGAGGATACGGCCAATATGTGCCTCTTAGAGTCCCACAGCCTGAGCCAATGAAGCAAATGATACATGCATTAGTATCGGAGAATAGAATTTAACCCTGGTTGTTACACTGCAGTGTGTGTGTTTGAAAAGGATGTCCTCTTTCACTCACCCTACCGATCACAAGATTCCCTGTCCCCTTTGACTAGTGGCACAATTACAAATGCCCAACCGAGTAGGAAGTGCAGAAGAAACTGCCTCAAATTCAGAAGATCCTTGGAGTCTGTGTTCTCTGTCCTTGCCCATTTCCACAGACTGCAGAGGATGAGCGAGTGCGGTGCTTGCTGTCCATAGCTAATGGGAATGGGAATGTTAGTATGAAGAAATATCAAAAATGCAAGTCCCCTCTACCACTGTGAAGAGAATAGGGAGGAAGTCCAATGCAGGACCTCTGCTGGGCCTGGTTTACATTTGCATCGCTTCCTGAAGTGCTCTAGTGACTCTTATTTATGTTGCTTTAGCACAAAATCTTTCTGAATGCTGATTCATATAAGCAGATGCAAAGTGACATGAATGGAAAACTGGCTTTGGGTTGCTTTCACGACTTCTGATCTGTGAGCCAGAAGGATGGATGACAACAGTGAAAAGATAAGCTCCTGCTGTTCGGCAGGAAGGGAGACTTACCACTGAGAGGAGGCTTACAGACAAATGGAGATGATACAAGATGTCAGGGAACTGCTTGGCTCATTCGCAGTGGAGAAGACCCGCCTCTGAGGTCTCCAAAGTAATGGAGGGAATTGATTGTCAGCAAAGATAATTGTCTACATTGGTGAAGGGTCAAACACGAGGAGAAAGATAGGTGCTCTCCTCCGTTAGACTCTCTCAGGGGCACTAAGTATGTGGAATGTGGTACTGGGGAGGGCAGTTGAAAAGAGAGTAAAGGATTCGGAGGCAGAGGTGTCAGGGGCTCCTTATATTCCTAAAATGGCCAGATGTGGTCAGAGCCGTGGGAGCTCTTAGCACCTTCACCAGCTAGCCCTGACCTGGGCCCTGGGCCTGGCTCAGCTGGTGCTGGGCGAATAGGTTCTGTGCTGGGCCTCAAACCAGAACATTGGTGTGTGCTTTTAGGACAGGACTTTTCTGTGGGTTTTGATGCTGACATGTTCTGGGGACTGCAGGGAGTTGTGATCTGATGAGGCTTGTGTGTGTGCCAGCCAGATAGCTGTCTAATACGTGAACAGATTGAATTGTGGCTTATTCCACATGCATCTACAGCCCGTTAAAGGGTTTTAAAGTGGACAACCTTATTTCAGGCCTACTTAGAGCAAAGAGCTGTAGCACAAAGCAGTTTCACTTCAGTGCAGAAGGGCAGCATGCACCACACCTGTTCACCCCAGAAGTCCACAAGAACTGGCCGTTTTCAGAGGTGACCTTCACTCGTTCCGAGTAGCGGCAGAACTGACCGGCAGCAATGGCCCAGCTGGATGCGCACCAATCTAGAAGTCTAGGAATTTTGTCCAGCACAATGTTAGGCACAAATTACCTTTTTTCTGTTGCTGAGCACTGTCTGTACTACCTGTCTCAGCAAGTCTACTTGTACAGTGAGTTTGCACACTTCCTGCTGCGGTTCACGGGTACTCAGGAGCTGGTCCAGAGTCCACCAGTCTGCATATTCTACAGCCAGAGCCCTCCCTCCGTCCCCCAGAGCAAGGCTGCTCCATTGTGTTTCAGTGCTGAGTGGGTCTGCAGGGCTACAGCCAAGTCCTTTCCCTTGGCGCTAATGGGAGCCATACAGCTCTGCTCTGGAGATATTATCCTTATTTGCCAAGGGCTGAGGCCCAGACTTCTTTTCTGCAAGCACAATTGGCACCTACAAAAATGAACCACAGATGCAGGTCTCAAATGCACGAGCACTTGGAGGAGCAATTGCAGACTCTGCCTTCCAAACCAAAGTCGCCCCTTTAGACAGATCACTCCAGCGATGCCTCAGGTTAAGCTGCTTGATTGCTAGAGAGCCAAGCCCTGCCGTTCACACTGCTGCATTTCCTTGCTGTCCTGTCCTTTTTCCCTGTGTTGGGGAGGGGGTGGCCTGGGTTATAAATCAGGTTTCCTTGTTTGTTGCTTGCCCTCACAAGGGAGTACTATGCACAGAAGGACTCGCGTGTGGCTCCAGGGACGAGGATGGTTAATGAAGACTCTGTTGCCCGCTGACGGCAGCCCCCTGCCTGTGCAGCCACAAATCCTTCTAATAATGCTGGGTGTCGACAAGGGCAGAAGGTCACCGCAGGCTGGTATACATCAAGCTTCACTAGAAGAATGCAACTTTAGCTGAGCAGAGCATTTCCCGGTGGCGCCAGGCTCTCTGAGCCCTCATAAAATGGCTGTCTGCAGCCGTCCACTGCTGAGTAATAACCACCACCACCAGGCTTCTCAAGTTATAAGAACAAATTAAATTGGCCCTTTCCACATTGTGTGGGATTTAAACACATGCTCCTTTGCTTGTTATAGTAATAGCAGGAAGCTGCGTACAGGGTTTTACAGCTGTGAGCAGCACACTGAAGAAATTCACCGCTAAAAGTTGCTAGTAGCAGGTTTTGGTGAATGTCAATGTGTATGTTTTAGCCCCACATTGTACCTCCTAAAAGAATTAAAAACCTTGCCCTGCCTTCCCCTGCGGAAGTAATCCTGTTATCCCAAAGCACAAATGGAATGATACTACTAATAGGTCAAATCACGTAAGTGGAGCAGAGGTGAGAATAGACCTTGAGCATCTTGACTCGTAAGGAGTTCTCAGCCTCAAGGCACCCCTCATTAGACTCAAAGCATCCCTCAGAAAATGCCAGTTCTTGGTTTTCACTTCTGTTTTGACTACAGAAAAATAATAGAGCAATTCTCTATTGAAACTGAAATCTCTTAGTTTATCTTGTGAATCTTATTTGCACACCTAGTAGTACTAACATTGCATGGCACCCTGCAGCACCCTTGAAAGGATCTCAAGGCACTCCAGGGTGCTGTGCCACCCTGGCTGAGAATCACTGTTCTCATACCTTGCTCTAGCATGCTGGCCCATTACTTCCGTCCTAGATCTGTTCCTGATGAATGGTTCAGTAAGACAATAGACAAGTTATTTTTCTGCTAAATCCTCTTGACCATTTCCCTTAAGGACAAGTCCTTCCTTATACGTGACACGGGAAGTCAGCCCAGGTGACGTGGCACAGGGAATTTTCCCCAGGGCGATGGGTAGATTTCAGAAAACCAGCAGTCAGTATGGGGCAGACATGCAGGTCTTGCTCTGAAGCCCCTGGTGTGTATGGATTGTTGTGGTATGTGATGAATGCGTAGAAAGCATGTAGTTGTGCATAGCTGGCACAGCACATACTACATGTCTTTGTTGCTCCAGAGAGGAAGTACAAGTTGTGGGGCTTGGCTTGACCCCATTCTCCCAAAAGGAGGATGCTGAGGGCTCTTTCAAGTGGCTGCTCTTTTCAAATGCAGGGATTAATTTTCTTGGCAGAACAATGTTTTGGGTTTTTGAGCTGGCAGCAGTGGGAGGGGGGCCTTTAATGCTCGGTATTATCCAACAGCATCGTTCCGTGGTGGACTGCAGGAGTGTAAACAAGAAGCTTCAATCTAGCAAGTGTTTTGGGGTCTCTGGGGACTTGATTGAATTTTGGGACTGAAAGTATTCTGGGCACTACTCAGTTAGATTATGGGTGAGCTGTCCAACAAGCTCCAAAGGGATAAGCGCGCCCCTCGGGGCTGGGAAGCAAACCATAGCTCTGCATTTCTCAGGACATTCCACGCTGCAGACAGTGGATTGTGCAGCAAAGAAGCACAAACTTAATTTCCTCCTCATTTGTCTGGAAGGGCCTTTGACCCTTGTTCTACCACCTTCAGTTCTTCATCCTCAAAGGTCATTTCCCAGCAGAGATTAATTTTCTTTAGGATTTAAGCTGCCTTTTTCTAAGCCTTTAGAAATCTTTGCTTTTTGATGACTGCTAAAATGAGATGAATCTGAACCTGTTCATTTCTTTCCAGTTATTAATGAACAAGCAAATTGGATTAAAAAGATATGAAGTTGATGGAAGAAAAGTTCTCTTTTATTTTGACGAGGTAATAACTTTGTTTTCTTTAGTTTTGTTGATTTTGAATGTGAGGATAAGAACAAGAGGCAACTGGATTGTTGGACAGGCTTAAATGAATTGAAATGTTTCACATGAGGATCTCTGTGGATGTTAATTGCCAGGCTTCAAGAGCCAGTTTGGGACTTGTAGGTGTTGGACATACTTCTAGGAAAGACATGTGTGCACAAAGAATGCAGGTAGCTTTCTCCCGATCACACAGGAGCTCAGAACAGAACCCTGTTCTCCTGGTTCCAAGTGCTGGGCTGATACTTGCTGTTACCTAGCCTTAGCTGCAAGATGGTCTGATCCTGACTCGCCAAGTACTAGGAGTGTCAGAGTACTAGGAGAAAATGGTCCTTTACTCAAGAGATCCCTTTGTGATGTGCATTCTGAGTCAGATGTGCTGGCTGTGCAGGGCTAGCACATATCTAGGAGAAGGAACTGGCACCTCTTCTGTCGCCTCTTCTCGCTCATCAGTGATGGAATCACTCATCAAGTCTCATTTGCAGAATAATTTATGGATGAGGCGATATGCAAGCCCAGAGAGTATGGCATGGGTTTCAGGTGCCTTTGTTTTGCTTTCATCCTGTCCCCAGTGCAGATGTGCCTTAAGGGTCCAGCTGAGCCCTGTGTATTCTACTGAGTTAGCTGGGCCTTTTTTTAGCATTCTTTGGAAGCAGCTTAAATCCTGGAAGGCACTGTTGTTAGTGCAGGTATCTGTTGCACAATATTAAGTTATGAATGGTATAGAGTAACCAATTTACTCTGCTGATTTACAGAGCTGTGGTGTATGCTAAACTAGCACTCTTATGTCCTTCATACAGATTCCTAGCCAGTGCATGACCTGTGTAAAGTTTCAAGCCTTCAGAGAGTATATAGTTGGGAAAACAGCCCCTGTTCCCATCAAAGTGTATGATTACTATGAGCCAGGTAGGCTGCTTTCCTTTGGATCTCGCTAATCCAGAACCCTCTCTTTGTGGTTCTGAATAATTTGTCATTCTTGCTTCTCTGTAGCATTTGAAGCAACTCGTTTCTACAATGTGAGCGAAAACAGCCCCCTTGCTCGTGAGCTGTGTGATGGGCCAACATGCAATGAGGTGGAAAGTTCAGCTAGTCAGTGGGTTGGTAAGTCACAGGAAAGCCAAAACTGGCTGTTTTTGGAAAGGACTGCAGAGAAGCCTGGTTCAGGGATTGGGACCCAAAATTGACTGTTTCAATGTGGGCTTTATATCCGAGTCTTGAGACTACCAGGGTGGCAGCCTACAGAAGTCTGCGACATCATCACATCAGTGACACAGTTAGCTTGGTCTTCTCTCACTAATGGTGACTAGTTCTGGATCCTGTAGAGGAGAGGTGCAAAGTATAATTGTGGAATAATCTACCCAAAGGGGATTGCTGCTTTGCATAGATGTTAAGTCTTTCTTTTTTATCTTCTTAATTCTCAGCCTCAATAATAGCTTGAGAGTTCCCCCACGTCATTGGGCATTGTGTGAAAAGACAGATTAATTTCACTAGGTGCCGTGACAATAACCTTTCCCAGAGACAAGTGTGTTGCCCAAGCTAGGGAGGGAGAGTTGTACCATTCAGAGTTGGAGTCTGCTTCATTGTGGCTTTTTCAGAAAGGCAGTTCTGTTCCCACAACTTCTTAAGCTCCTATGACAGAGTGGTAGGGAATTCTTATAAAAACGTCTATGAAACATAAGAAAACAATAAAAATATCCTTTCTTCTATCTGCTTCTGATGTTCCCGCTGCCCTTTCAGGTTTTGTTCACTCTGGGCCATGCAACAACATTTTCGGCTGCCTGGAAGATGAATATTTTGAGCAGTGTATGTGCTCTAGAGACTGTGGCTATGATGGGGAGCCGGTGTGTGGGTCTGACGGGCTGATGTATCAGAACCATTGCCAAATGGAGGTAGCATCCTGCAGGAATAATACAAGGATAGAACAAATTCCTATGTCTCAGTGTTCTGCCTGTAAGTTGCTTATAGTTTCCTTTTTTGTTGTGTTAGCCAAAGTAGTGCATGTGATTTGGACAAGTACAGGATTCAAAACACAGTCTGCAAAAGCAAAAGGGGGTATCCTGTCCGGCAGCTCATGACCTGTGATCTGGGCAATGCATCTGTCAGGAGCAGAGAGATCACAGTTGGGCTTGTAGCTCTTAAGAACGAAACGTAAGAATTTCAGTGGTAATGTCTGTATCTCTCCAGAGTCATGTCTTGGATATAAATGAACCCGGTGAGATGGTGAGATGTGGCCCCTAGTGTATTCTCAGTGTATCTTCATTGCAAGCAGTGTGGCAGTGCGTTGGACCACACTGGATGAAAGGTTTTATAAAGGTTCTTTAACCCACGCTGTGGCAACTGTATCCTGTTTTTGCAGCCAAGAGTTTACCAGAAGAGAGGGAGAATCCTTTCCACACTGTTGACCAGCCCAGTGTTCAGCAAACGCAAGCAGGTAATGATGTCTCCAAATTTACCCAAGACCCTTTTTCTCTGAGAAGGTTCAAGATGGTGACTCTCAAAACTGTATACAAGTTTGAAACAGATTTGAGCAGAGGGACTGAAGTGCTTGCTTTGAATTGTTCAAGAAGTACAACCGTGCAGCTTGAAGTCCTAAGTGGCATCAAGATGCTTGTAGGGAGGGGCAGCTGACTTCCAAGGCTGGGTTTGTGAGGGTTTCTCTTCAGCGGCTATCACTGAGGAACAGGGCTGGCACTGACTGGGGATTTCCCCTTGGAGATCAGATCGGTGCAGTGTGTCCTAGCAAGTAAGTGACAACTAACTCCTTCTGGATGAACTAGAAAACTTGAGCTGAACGGAGTCTATCCTTAGATGTGATGTACGGTTCTTGAGATGGCTGCTCTGATCCTGGTTGAGTCTGCCTGGAGTGAAGGGCCCAAGTGAACGAAAGGTAAAAGAGCTGAGGAAGGAACTGCTGCTTTGATTTGAATGAAGCAGGGAATCTGGCCGCTCACTTTATTTGGCACTTTATGGGAATTTTTTTTCCAGATTCATGGGTCAGGTTTGCAATACAAAATGGGTTACAATAAATCTCACCGGGAAGCAGTGGGGGGTCAATAGGGTAGTTTGTTTTGCACCTTTTCTAGTAAATAAAATGAGCCTGGGGTCTTCCTGGCTGCGTTCCCCTCATTAGTTCTCCCATGGCCTCCAGCTCTCCCGAGAACTCAACAAAAGAAATCCCTCTTCAGGGGGAGCAGTCTCGCAGCGGGCAGCCGGAGGCAAACAGGCAGCAGCTGTGTTGCTCTCCCTCTTCCCTGTCCTCTGACCAGCTTGCTAACATCCTGTGATCCCCTTTCTGGTTTCCTGCCCTTGCTGACTCCGCAGAAGCTGATGAGTAGATTTTGAGATGGTAGGTGTTGTTTGGTACCTTTCTTTGGGTGGCCCCTCTTTGGGGCTTTGAACTGTTTCAGTGTGTGCTCTGCTCAGCATAGATCCACTCCTTGCGATCGAGATTTTTGTATTCTTTTAAGCTATGTGTAAACCTGTCTTGCTTTGAATTTCTGGCTTTGATTTGTATCTGAATCCTTCAAACCAGTCACCTAAGGAAAACCCTCTGGAATATAAGTATGGGCAGCCATATGCTCTGCTAACCACAGCAGTAGAGATGGGATTGACAGACACCTTTAGCTTTAATAGGTTGGGTGTCTTACTTTGGATGTCATGAATCAGTCCCCTGAACAATTGGATCGTAGGATCTCCTAGTATTTTGTCACCCAACAGCAGTAAGAAGCAGGCAACCTCCAGGCTAGCAGATGCTCTTCCGTGCTGAGCTGCCTGAGCAGCCCTGATAATGAACATTTTTTTTTCAATCAAATTGGCTAAATCCTGCCTCAGGAGGAGTGCACAGCATGTGATTCTCCCTAATCCTCTGGACTCTTCTCAGGTCATCCGCACGGTAAAGGAATCCAAGTTTAACAAGTCAGTGAATCCCTTCTTGCACACGGGTCCCATCGGGTCCCATTGGCTTGTTAGCTTCAAAGCATGTGATTGGTTAAGTCAGTTCAGGTGCTCTGGGTCGCTAGTGAAAGCTCAGATGAGCCATACCTAAATCTGTGATTTCCTAAAAGGATGTAAAACTCCAGGAGCCAAGTCAAGTTTAGGGTAGAGGGGGAGTGATGGGGTGAGTGGACTCAGTGTTAATCTCCAGGAAGTGCCTTTCTCACAGCGTCTTGTGGTGTTTATATTGTGTGCAGTCCCTGTGAATTTGCTCTGACTTGTGTGGGTCTGTTTGGTCTGACAGACGCTTTCATTGTCGGCCCTTGGCTGTGTTAGACAACTGCAGTGGAAACAGCGAGACAAACCGAGTGTGGGGCTGTGCGGTGCAGCTGGGCTCACTCCTGCAAGCGCAGCCCTGTTCGATGCAGGAGGACGGCTGCAGTGAGTACCATTACTCGCAGGAATGGCAGTGAGCAGGGAGTGAGGCCTGGGGTGCATGACCCACCCTAGATTATAGTAGTATGTAGCTCTGAGAAACCTGGGGGCTGTGCCACATCTTTGACAGTAGCTGTTCCAGTCTCTGGGGCTGGTGATGGAGACTTGAGGGGCCTGGAGTCCATATCACATTTGTTTTAGAGAAGTGTGTTTTCAGGCTGACGCTGTGAATGGGAAGGTGTTCTCTGCCCCTTTGAGGTTTCAGCAGTGCTGGGGAAAACCCATATGTTGGAGAGGCTGCAGAGATTCATTGGGGTGGGAACTGGGAGCAGCATTTGGATTTGGATTGCCTTCCACGACTCTTCTTCCCTCTTGGGAAATTGCTGCCGAATCGGATGTTGGGAGCAGAATCTAAACGGGCCACACGGGTCCGGCATGACCCTGCAGTCTGCTGGTGCATCTCATTCCTCCAGCCTTTGTGGCTGCTGTTTAAATTTTCAGGGCCTTTCAAAGCACGCTAATGCTCTGTGAAACGGCCCAAAGCCTTCTGTGCCCCAGGTGCTGAAGGCACTGCTTCCTGCCCAGCTCCAAAGCTCAGAGTTGAACCTACCACCCTTTCCTCCCTCCGTCCCATAGGGCCACACCACAGCACCAGCCGGCTGTAACGTTCTTTCCAGGAGCAGTGCTCCTCAGGATGGATTGGATTGGCAGCGGGCCACTTTTCCTTTCATCCCTTCAATGTTCAGCAAATATTGGCCAGGGCACAAGCATTTGAAGACAGGGTGCGGTTTGTGTGTAACAGGAAACACCAACCTTTCATCTTTGTTTGGAGTTGAAAGTTGCATTCCTCAAAGGAGCGGGGTCTGTGATCTTGGTCCTGTCCCTGGTGGATGGCAATCATCCAGCCATAGAACGACCTCATAGCCTGGCAGGTTCCCTGGGAGAGGAGGCCAAGGAGGCGTGAATGTGGAGACTGAATCTCCTGTCGGGAAAGTGGTCCCTTGCTATAGGGCTGAACCTGCTGCTGGAGGGGTGTGGAAGGCAACAGGGAAAGGGGCCTTCAGGATTTTTATTTCTGGAGAACAAACATTTTCAAAGGCTTTGGAGAGAGTTCGCTTTAAATAAAGCAAATATTGCAGTGAGACTGTTCCTCCCCACAGCAAGTAAAGGAAAGAACAGTTTGCTTGGGCGTGGGTTGGAATAGTTGCACAGATGGAGCCAGTAGGGGGAAAAGGCAGCTTCATTCAAGCTGCAACAGAAAGGAGCTGTTTGTATCCCAAGGATGTTCCCGCTCTCTTCCATACACTCTGGACCCAGTGCCCCCAGAGCAGAGGGCAGCAACCTGTTCTGCCTGGAGTGAGCGATCTCTCGCAAACAAATGGCTCCATCCCTTTCTTTATGCTTGGGAAGTTGCTCTGTGGCTTGTGACGGAGCTGAAGTGGAGACTCATCCCCCGTGGCACGAGCCCAGGTCCCCCTAGTTCCACTCACTAGGCTGCCCAGGCAGAGGTGGCTTGCTGGGCTAGTCTGAACTCGGGCGGAAGGCAGGGCAGGTGGGACAAAGTCAGCTGTCGCCTACAAACGCTCCTGCCTCTCTGAACCAGTCAGTCAGGAGAGTGCCACCCTGCCCTGCCTTCTGTGTGAGGGAGGGGCTGGGGGACTCCCTCCTGCTCCTGTTAAGCCAAAATCGGTGAGCTGATTGCCTGAAGAAAGAGCAGCCCTAAAAACTGATCCTCTTGGAACAGGCAGAAGGTGCATGATGTCTCACCCCTGATGGAGTCTGGCTTTGTCACCCATTGGTAAAGATGATGCCTAAAGCTGCACTTTCACAGTGATCTCAAAGCACCTCGCTGAGCTGTTGCAGCTTTCTTCTGCCCTTTTTACCAATGTGGAAACAATGGCTCGAGGGGAAGTGACTTGCCCTGTATGAAGTGCAGAATCAGGAGAGAGAGCTGGGTGTGGAGCCCAGAAGTCCTGACTCCTGTTCCTTGAGACACATGCAAACTAAATGGACAATCTTTAAGATTTTTATTTTTAAATTAGAGCCCTTATTTTTTTTTGTTTTCCTACCTGTCAGAGGAGGAATTGTGGAAAATCCTGGTGCAAAGCAGCTCCGCTGCTTGTGGCCTGGAGTTGGGACTGCCTGCATGCCGTTGTTCTGGGCTGCCGGCACACACTGCTCCCTCTTTTCTCATGAGGCACCAGGGCTTTGGCTCTTCTGAAGTGTATTTGGATTCCCCACTGATTAACATGCTTCCTCTTGTGTTTACCCTCCCACCCTATGCCTGACATGCAGCAGAGCAGAAGTGTTACCAAGGGCCATCCCCTTTTGGCTAAAGTTCATCCTGTGAGTGTCAGTCTGAAGCTTCATTTGTTTCCCTTGCACAGAAGAAGGCCCCGTGATCCAGTCGGACCTGTCCTACTACTCCTACGAGTACGACCCCGACCCCTATGTCTCTGAAGCGGATGTCTTTGAGATGGCAGCAGAGCTGACAACACCCAGCAGCGCCCCGAGGGAAGGGGACAGAATTCAGGGAGTGGTGACCACAGCAGAATGGTGAGAGAGCGAGGCCTGGGGGCCAGGGCAGGGCTAGATCTGGCTTGTCTTCGAAGCCATGCCTCTGGGTCAAGAGTGAATCTGCCGTAGGGGCTTCTGACGATCGCGTTGCCATTTCCCTTGACCTCAGCGCTGCTGGGGATTAGGACAATGTTGGTTTGGCACTGGGAGCCTTCAGTGCCTGCAACTTTCAATTCCAAACAGGCATTTTAAGGTAGAAAGGGCTGGGTTCAACTGCTGCTGTACAGAGATCTGTGATGGGAGAGTGACTTCTCTTTGTTATATTCTCTCTCCAACAGAAATGTATAATTTAAAATAAAAAGAAGAAGCTCAGAAACAACTCCTGTACGAGTTTGTTCCTACAGATGACCTGCTGCAGAACAGAAACCAAATGACGACTACTTTCTGATGCTCTCAGAACTGTAGGCCTCTCCTCCCCGTGGGGTGGCAGGAGCTCCTTGGGGGCACTCAGCCTTATTTTTTCTGACAATTTTCCTGCCTTTTGTTCACCCTATTAGGAGTCTTTCCAAGGATGAGAGACCAATATGCTGTCCCTGTAGGTGGGAACAGGGGTGGGAATTCAGACCCCCTAGACCACTTCAGAGTGTTTTGTATGGTACAAGGATTTCACAAACACCATTTCCTAGCTACACAAAGAAGCCAAGTCCAGGCCCCTGTGTCCGGCTGAGTTGCTTCTTGGGAAGAGGTGGCTGAGGAGCTTTCTTTCAAGTTACAGTAATAAAAAGCAATGTGTTTTGCTTACTGTGCCATAGCTAGAGGTTAATGCTGCCTCCAGCCTTAATGTCCCACTGCACTAGCAGCATGTTGCCCTCCTGGGAACGACTTCCCTAACACCTCCATGCTCATTGGACTTGGCAAGGAGACAGTCCTCCAAGAGAAAAATTAAATCATCTGAGAACTCCACAAGGGGTAAAAGTCTGACAGTCCTGGGCATGGCTGCAGGCTCTGCCTGGGAAGAGTGCCAGTGATAGCAGGGATGAGGGGCCGGCAGGTGAACTCCATTTATGTTGGAGCAGGTTCTGCCAAGTGCAGCCTGCAGCCTCCTGGCCTCTGCCCCCTGGTCTCTCTCTCTCTCTCTCTCTCTGTAACCCCAGCATGAGAATAAATTTGACCTGAGGCAGTGTCATGCTTAGTGCTTGCCTGATTTTACCAGCCATTTCTGTTCTGCTCCCAGCAGGACCCCAGTACTCTGTGTATTCACAGCCTTTGTGGCCCTTGGGCTGCCACCAGTGCAGAACCCTCCTCAGTATCGGAGGCTGGGCTCTTTTAGGGTAACTTGACCTGAGCATGAGAGTTTGAGTCTAATCGACAAATGGTTCAACGTAAAGAAAAGCAGAGGCTGTACATTCCTGAAACGTTTTGGGTGTCTCCTTTGCTGGCACCAGGAGCAACATCATTCCAATTACTCCGTGGAGGTGGTATACACAGCTGCCTGCCGCAAAATAACCAGGATGTTTCATCCTTCCGCCTCCACTGTTGCCAGAGCCCAGAGCAAACTGGAAACCTTCTCGGGGGTGTTTGTTCATGAAAGAAAACAGAAGAAAGCCTGATTCATATTGTTTATAGGGCTCCCCAGAATGCAGATTACTTTATTGCCAAACAGTGCCCACATGAAGACAAAGAGGAGCGAGTTTGGCCTTCCGCTCCTTTTCCTCTCTAAAAACATTTTCCAGGTGCTGACTTCAGTCAGCGTGCTGAGCAGGGACCAGGTCCTTGGACTGGGTCTGTGGCTGGGAAGAGAGTTGGAGTTGGGGTTTCCAGTGTTAGTCTCTTAGACTTCAGCTTTCAGATTCCCAGACATAGGTGACAGTGGAAGGCAGCAGGTCACAGCCCAGCCCTGAGATTCCAGTAAATTCAGAATGGCTCTGCTGGCTAATATTTTAATTGCTGCTTCCCCTGCTGCTCAGAGGTCTTCTTTCAGACTCCTAACATGGCTGCACCCATCTGCACCCGCTGCTTCTCAGCAGAGATTTTTGCCACGTCTCTTCAGTGTGCAAGAGCAGACCACATCCCAGCCGTGTCCCCACAGTGCAGTGGAAATGCCAGCGGCTGCAG